TATCGATGATTTCATAGAGTAGAAAATCGATTCTTTTCTATTTGGACATATTTTATTAATTAGCAATTTGATCGTTTTAACTAACAAAGAGCAGTACTAGATGATGAACTTTAGTATCCTGCTGTATATACAAGCCCTTTACTTGATGTTGTCTGTTATTTGATCGCTCAATTTGCGCTGAATGAATCGTTGGTAAGAGTAGAAATAACAAGTGATAAGCAGAAGAGAAAAAAAAAAGACTGTTAACCGATTACATAAGTCATCAAAAAGAAAGTGACTAGTGAAAGATGCATAAACATAATTACATAGATGAATGAATTCATCGCAAGAAAAAAGAAGTTGTTTATATGCAGGTGTATTCTGTCGATGTAATAATAAAAAAATAGATATATATATAAGATTTATGTGTTTTTCTAGGCTGGCCTATTGCCGTTGGCGTTTGCGTGTCAGTCAGTCTTGCAAGTGTACTCATTCTTTATCTTGTTGTTCGTATACGCTCTGGTAATAAACAACGCAATCCTCTATCAGTACCAGGCGATGATATACATTCTCAAATGGAATGGGAAGATGATATTGGACTTAATATTATTGTCAATCCATTAGAAGAAACAAAAGTTAGTTAATTTATTTTTATCGTATATTTTTTATGTTATATTTTCTTTTCCTTATAGAAACCCGTCCAACCAATAAATATTCAAAATATGGAAGAAATGATGCAAGAATATGAAGGTGGTAGTAGTTCTGAAGAAGATGATGAATGTGATGGTCAAAGTCATAATGAATATTCATCTGAAGAAGAAGATGAAGATTATGATAATAATCAAATAAATCAAAAGAAACATAATCATCAATTAGAATGGGATGATGATGATATAGAATATGGACCAAAAAAAAGTTTGAAAAAAAGAATATACAAATAAAAAGAAACAAAAAATAAATTAATGTTGTGTGTGATCTTTTGTTGTATGTTCGTATATTCTGTTGTTGATTACAGAATTGAGTTGAAGATGATGAAGAAACGAATGTAATTCGGGAAAAACAAGAAATAGATGAGTGTGCAATTCTGTTTGCTGGTCACCGGTTTTATATGTCGTATGTTTTTCTTTATTTTCTTTTGTTTCTTTTTATTTTCTTCTTGAGCAGTATTCCCATATGTACAGAGTTTTGATTAGATGTTGTTCAATGCTGTAACCATTATTTTTCTTTCTTTCTTTCTTTCTCTCTATTTGTTTTCATTATTAATGGTAAAGGAATTGTTTGTGGATCGATCAAATTGACTAAGCAATAAATACAAGAACAAAAAATATCTTTTTAGAATTATAAATCATGATCGAAATTAATAAACTCAATAAATTTTTTTGTTTATCAGAATAATTAATATAAATACCGAACTTGATCATACAAATTAATCGTATTGTATAATATGTTCGACATGAATTTTCCGATGGTTACATGTATACATCTAATTATGATATCGTGTCATAAAAATATGTTCTATTTTGGTTCCGAATAAAAACTCTAGACATGAGATTTATTTTAATGACGATATATAGATATTTTTTTCATTAATAACTATGATTAGTACTTATATTGAATATAATTTGAAAAGAAAAAACAACAAATCTGAGTTTATACATATCTATAATTAGTTTAATAAGCATAAAATCATGGTTTATGGTTTGAAAGAATAAAGCATGCATTGATTTTTTGTGTATTAACTCTTATTAAATAACCGATAAAATGAATAATTTAGACCAATCATTATTTAGTAAACAAAGAATCAATAAGAAAATTATTATTCATATCATATGATAAAGAGTAATGATTTATTATTTCTACTAATGATAGGTCGATAGATATAATATAGGTCGTTTTTCTAAGTATATATCTATCGAACTATCATTAGTAGAAATAATAAATCATTACTCTTTATCATATGATATGAATAATAATTTTCTTATTGATTCTTTGTTTACTAAATAATGATTGGTCTAAATTATTCATTTTATCGGTTATTTAATAAGAGTTAATACACAAAAAATCAATGCATGCTTTATTCTTTCAAACCATAAACCATGATTTTATGCTTATTAAACTAATTATAGATATGTATAAACTCAGATTTGTTGTTTTTTCTTTTCAAATTATATTCAATATAAGTACTAATCATAGTTATTAATGAAAAAAATATCTATATATCGTCATTAAAATAAATCTCATGTCTAGAGTTTTTATTCGGAACCAAAATAGAACATATTTTTATGACACGATATCATAATTAGATGTATACATGTAACCATCGGAAAATTCATGTCGAACATATTATACAATACGATTAATTTGTATGATCAAGTTCGGTATTTATATTAATTATTCTGATAAACAAAAAAATTTATTGAGTTTATTAATTTCGATCATGATTTATAATTCTAAAAAGATATTTTTTGTTCTTGTATTTATTGCTTAGTCAATTTGATCGATCCACAAACAATTCCTTTACCATTAATAATGAAAACAAATAGAGAGAAAGAAAGAAAGAAAGAAAAATAATGGTTACAGCATTGAACAACATCTAATCAAAACTCTGTACATATGGGAATACTGCTCAAGAAGAAAATAAAAAGAAACAAAAGAAAATAAAGAAAAACATACGACATATAAAACCGGTGACCAGCAAACAGAATTGCACACTCATCTATTTCTTGTTTTTCCCGAATTACATTCGTTTCTTCATCATCTTCAACTCAATTCTGTAATCAACAACAGAATATACGAACATACAACAAAAGATCACACACAACATTAATTTATTTTTTGTTTCTTTTTATTTGTATATTCTTTTTTTCAAACTTTTTTTGGTCCATATTCTATATCATCATCATCCCATTCTAATTGATGATTATGTTTCTTTTGATTTATTTGATTATTATCATAATCTTCATCTTCTTCTTCAGATGAATATTCATTATGACTTTGACCATCACATTCATCATCTTCTTCAGAACTACTACCACCTTCATATTCTTGCATCATTTCTTCCATATTTTGAATATTTATTGGTTGGACGGGTTTCTATAAGGAAAAGAAAATATAACATAAAAAATATACGATAAAAATAAATTAACTAACTTTTGTTTCTTCTAATGGATTGACAATAATATTAAGTCCAATATCATCTTCCCATTCCATTTGAGAATGTATATCATCGCCTGGTACTGATAGAGGATTGCGTTGTTTATTACCAGAGCGTATACGAACAACAAGATAAAGAATGAGTACACTTGCAAGACTGACTGACACGCAAACGCCAACGGCAATAGGCCAGCCTAGAAAAACACATAAATCTTATATATATATCTATTTTTTTATTATTACATCGACAGAATACACCTGCATATAAACAACTTCTTTTTTCTTGCGATGAATTCATTCATCTATGTAATTATGTTTATGCATCTTTCACTAGTCACTTTCTTTTTGATGACTTATGTAATCGGTTAACAGTCTTTTTTTTTTCTCTTCTGCTTATCACTTGTTATTTCTACTCTTACCAACGATTCATTCAGCGCAAATTGAGCGATCAAATAACAGACAACATCAAGTAAAGGGCTTGTATATACAGCAGGATACTAAAGTTCATCATCTAGTACTGCTCTTTGTTAGTTAAAACGATCAAATTGCTAATTAATAAAATATGTCCAAATAGAAAAGAATCGATTTTCTACTCTATGAAATCATCGATA